AAAATGGAAAACAACCCTCTGAAGAGAACATATTTGCCAATGATACATCTAATAAGGGGTAAACATCCAACGTTTAGAAAGAACTTGTAAAACTCAACACTCCCCCCGCCCCCCAAAAACCCCACAGACAATCCCGTTAAAAACTGGGCAAAGGACCTGAATAGACTCTTCTCCGCCGAGGACATGCAGATGGCCAACAACACACACGTGAAGAGATAGATGCTCCATGTCACTCATGATCAGAGAGATGCAAATTCAAGCCACAGTTGTAGACCTACTCTTGCCACACCCTGCAGATAAAAATGGCTACACCCGGGCTATGGAATATTGTTTAGCACCGAAGAAATGAGCTACCAAGCCATGCAAAGACATGGAGGAACCCGAAGTGCATATGACTAAGTGAAAGAAGCCAAGCTGAAAAGGCTGCAGACCGTGTGATCAGCGGGGAGGGAGGGATGCCTAGGGAGGGTTTTTAGGAGTGAAATGACGCTGCATGACGCTGCGATGGTGGACACATGTTGTTACACGTTTGCCAAAATCCACAGGATGTCCAACACCAAGAGTGAACCCTAATGTGACGTGCAGACTTAGGGTGACAATGATGTGCGATGCAGGTTCACCGATTGTAACCAGTGTCCCATCTGGTGGGGGATGGTCGTAGTGGGGGAGGGGCTGTGCATGTGGGGTGGGCAGGGCATCTATAGGAAATCTCTGTACTTGCTCCTCAATTTTGCTATGAACCTAAAACTGCTCTAAAAAATAAAGTCTATTAAAAATATACATGAGTCCTGGCTGGTTTGCTCAGTGTTAGAGCACTAGCCCGCAGACCGAAGGGTCGTGGGTTCGATGCCCTGTCAAGGGCACATAGCTCTGTTGCATGTTCCTCCATCCTGGTAGGGGCTCATGCAGGAGGCAACCAATCATCTCTTTCTCTTTCTCTCTCTCCCTCTCTCTCTCCATCCTCCCGCCCCTCCACTATAGAAATCAATGGAAAAAATAACCTGGGGTGAGGAATATATATATGAAAATGGTTAATGAGAGGCCCAGGTATATTTATTCTCAGAAGTCCAGCCCATTTCATTCCCAAGGTCTGCCAACAAAATCCCCCTCCGAATCTGAAATGGGTGTCGTGTCAGGTGGAGGGAGATATTCTCCCAGAAGAGACGTGACTCAGGCAGCCTCACCTTCCTCTCCCCCCAGGCGCCCGGGCCCCCTGCGCTCACCCCGTGCGAGAGCATTGCCAGGCCAGCAGTATACCCCGTCCTGTAGACACAAGGCGTGTTATTTAGTCTAGAAACCCTCAGAGGAAATATCCGCTTGCACGTGAAGAATCTCTGGAATGTCTCTGTTCCTCTGTGCAGCGTCCCTGTCTCTGTGGAGCCGGCCTGGAGAGCTTCTACAACATGAGCGCTGCCTTGCTCCGGGCCGGCTGCTCCTGTCCGGGATGGTGGCTGTGCCGGGAGGAAGAGGAGGAGGAGCAGGAGCAGGAGCACGAAGAGGCCCCTGTGAGGACCAAAACTGGCGAGTTTTACACGATCGGGACCACATAGGAGCGCAGTCCGTGGTCGCACACCGCCATCCTTGAGTACCTGAGCCCCTCACTGCCCGCTCCGTAATTAAGGTGCGGGACTTGGACCCGGGGGACGATGAAAACCGTGGGCTCGGGCCCGACACTGTCTTAGTTGCTCTCCTCCTTAGGTTGCTTTTGCTGCCTATCCCTCCATTTCCTTGTTCGCAGCTTCCCGCATCCCCCTCCTTTTAATTTTATATTTAATATATTTCCACTGATGTCAGAGAGGAAGAGAGAGGGAGAGATAGAAACATCAGTGATGAGAGAGAACCGTTGATCGGCTGCTTCCTGCATGCCCTCCCCCGGGGATGGAGCCCCCAATCTGGGCGTGTGCCATGACCAACTAGAAATCAAACTGTGACCTCCTGGTTCACGGGTTGGCACTCAACTACTGAGCAACACCAGCTGGGCCTCTCTCACCCCCCTTCTAAATCCCTGCCCCCCCCTTCGCCCCCAACTGATGTTGACAGATCTGGAGCTTATTTAGGTAAGGCCCCCGGGGCCCGGGCACATCCGAGGGCCGCCTAGAGCAGTCTGTGAAGGCATCAAACAGTGCGTGTCTGCCTTTGCCGTCTCTTAAACATGAGGAAGGGAGCCAGCCTTCCTCCCCCCCTCTGGGCACTGGGCCGCCTCTCCCCCGGCAGTTTCCAGGGCTGTCTTGTCTGCCTCTGGGCCTGGCGGCAGCAGCCAAGGTGAAAGCCGCCCCCTGCCCGGCGCC